ATGTAAATCTTAAATTTAATGGCGTTGTAACAAACATGAATATGTATTTAAAAATGGCAAAACATAAACATGTAAAGCCCTTAAGACTAAGCGTTTCTCAAACTCGAGGTCCTGACCCAAAAGGGGGTCACAAGGCTATTACAGGGGGGTCACGGTATTGCCACCCTTACTTCTGCACTGCCTTCAGAGCTGGGAGGCCAGAGAGCAGCGGCTGCTGGCCAGGTGCCCAGCTCTGAAAGCAGCACTACTTCCAGCAGCAGCACAGAAGTAAGGGTGGCAATATTGTGCCCCCCCCAATAGCCTTGTGACCCCCTTTTGGGTCGGGACCCCCAATTTGAGAAAAGCTGTATACTTTTGTATACTTTTACCCTATAATATAGGGTACTTTTACAGCATAGGGTAAAAGTATACAAAATAGCAGATTTCATGGGGGAGACCAGATTTCATGGTCCGTAACATGTTTTTCACAGCCGTGAATTTGGTAGGGCCCAAATTATTAATAGTATTTATCCCTACTTTATCATTTCAGAGCCAACATCTGAAATGGTGGTATGATTTCCAGGAATTAAACATTTCTCTCTTCTATAGAGTCTTCTATAGAGTCATGTCTTATGATAGAATTCCAGGCAATGGAGATCAGTTAAACGACCTACAACAGGGCAGATTGGAGAGATATGTTGGAAGGATTTTTGAACTATACTACAGAGAATAAAGAAATGCAACATGTTTGTCCAAAGCAGCCAAAGTTCTGTGTGTCATAGTTCTAATATTTTCTTCCCATGTAATGTTAGTTTCTCATCTCACATTAAATACATACCTCAAACATCTGGGAAATACTGGCTGCTTTCCCATGAAAGTAACTGCTCCTTTTAGCATAAATACAGTGAGTTTTTAATTAATCAGCATTGCTTGACAGAGGCTAACCCATTTCAAACAAATTACTGCCAACTATCCATTTTTTAAAATTACTCAATTAATTAACAGTAATAGTAATAATAATAATAATTGAAAACAGAACTTTCTCTGGGTATGACAAGCGCCCTATTGTGGTAGGCATTGCACATATTAAGGGACATGGTCTCTTCCCCAAAGACAGTACAGTCTAAAGAGACAAGATAGACACAGGATGTGGGAAAAGAAGTATTACCTCCATATTACAGAAGGGCTACTGGGGTACAGAGAGACCAAGGACTTGTCTAAAATAGAAAGTTTTGCCACTGTAACTGCACTGGTGTAACTGAAGTGGCAACCTCCACTCATAGAATCGTAAGTAATCTAGTCCAACCCCCTGCTCAAAGCAGGACCAACCCCAACCAATTCATCCCAGCCAAGGCTTTGTCAAGCTGGGCCTTAAAACCTAAGGATGGAGATTCCACCACTTTCATAGGTAACCCATTCCAGAGCTTCAGCACTCTCCTAGTGAAATAGTTTTTCCTAATATCCAACCTAGACCTTCCCCACTGCAACTTGAGAACATTGCTCCTTGTTCTGTCATCTGCCACCTCTGAGAACAGCCAAGCTCCATCCTCTTTGGAACCCCACTTCAGGTAGTTGAAGGCTGCTATCACATCCCCCCTCACTCTTCTCTTCTGCAGTCTAAATAAGCCCAGTTCCCTCAGTCTCTCCTCATAAGTCATGTGCCCCAACCCCCTAATCATTTTTGTTGTCCTCTGCGAGACTCTCTCCAATTTGTCCACATCCTTTCTGTAGTGGGTGACCCAAAACTGGGCATAATACTCCAGATGTGGCCTCACCAGTGCCGAATAAAGGGGCATAATCACTTCCCTCGATCTGCTGGCAATGCTCCTACAAATGCAGCTCAATATACCATTAGCCTTCTTGGCAACAAGGGCAAAATGTTGACTCATATCCAGCTTCTCATCCACTGTAATCCTCAAGTCCTTTTCTGCAGAATTGCTGCTTAGCCAGTCGGTACTCAGCCTGTAGCAGTACATGGATTCTTCCATCCTAACTGCAGGACTCTGCACATGTCCTTGTTGAAACTCATCAGATTTCTTTTGGCCTAATCCTCCAATTTGTTTAGGTCAGTCCGGACCCTACCCCTACCCTCCATCATATCTACCTCTCCCCCAACTTAGTGTCATCCACAAATTTGCTGAGGATGCAATTTATGCCATCTTCCAGATCATTAATGAAGATGTTGAACAAAACCAGCCCCAGGACCAACCCCCTGGGCACTCCACTTGATACCGGCTGCCAACTAGACATCGAGCTGTTGATCACTACCCGTTAAGCCTGACGATCTAGCCAGCTTTCTATCCACCTGATAGTCCATTTATCCAATCCATACCACTTTAACTTGCTGGCAAGAATACTGTGGGATTCAGTATCAAAAGCTTTGCTAAAGTCAAGATATATCACGTCCAGCGCTTTCCCCATATTCACAAAGCCAGTTATCTCATCATAGAAGACAATCAGGTTGGTCAGGTATGACTTGCCCTTGGTGAATCCATGTTGACTGTTCCTGATCACCTTCCTCTCCTCCAAGTGCTTCAAAATGGATTCCTTGAAGACCTGCTCCATGACTTTTCTGGGGATTTTGGTGAGGCTCCGCAATGTGGATGTGGACACAGAGGTATATAAGTATTTATACTGATATTGCTTATTCCGGTTAAAGCAGTGAAATAAGCTATACTGGTATAAAGCTTCTTTATAATGGTACAACTACACCAGGGCTTATAAATGGTACAACTACTGGTAAAAAATAGCATACCCCTAATTGACAAAGTTTGCTTTCCTAGCATAGTCCAAGCCTAAGTGACAGCTAAGTGCTCAACATCACACAGGAGATCTGTGTCAGAGATGGGAATAGAAATCAGCCCTGCTGAACCTTGGTCTATCCCCTTAGCCATGAGACCATCCCTCCCACCCTGCAACCCTGCATTTGTACTGCCTATTTAGAGAATAAATTCAGCAGCATCTGCATGCTCTTCTTCAGTTTGCTCTAATTTATTTTGGCTGACCCCAGGGCTTCAAGCCATCTCTGCTCACCTCACCTTGTCCTGAACTGAGCACAGCTCACAGGCTCTTAGCCCCAGTGCCCTTGTATGAATATTGTCCTTCTAAAGGATCCTCCCCACTGTTGCCACCTCTTGTTTACTTAAAGCCTTTTGTTTGTCCAGATGTTTTGTACAATCAGCAACTGTATGACCTGCCCAAGTCACGAATTGTGACACTGAAACTCAACTTACTGTCTACAACTGCCTCTTTAGGAGTTTGGTGACCTGCAAATGCCACAACCGAGCACTTTCTCCCTTTCCCTGCGTACATTAGCTCTGAAGGATATGAAAGAATTCTGCAGAAATGTACAACCATATCAGAATACTTGAAACTTTATGATTTTAATGCTTTCCTTTTTTGGGAAAAAGAATGAATAAAGCATTTAAAAATGCATGGTAAGGACCCATTCTCATTACCATTGAGTGGTTTGAAATAAACTTAATTGAATCTTAGTATAACTTTAAGATTGTTATATTTTCTTTTACAGATGCTGAACTTAATAAGAAAAAAGGGGTTAAAACCAATATCTCAGCAAAGGAGGGGTTCTGTGTGTTTTTGTGTTTTAATAATGCCACTTGTGTTCCTTTCCTCTTTATTTCACTTTTTTTAAAGTGCATAATTTTTATTCTTTTGATTTGGTTGACTGGCTTTCCCAAATCATTTTACAAGAAAAAGTTATTTGAGAAGACAAATAAAAACACTTTCCCATGGAGGCAAAGCTCTATCTGCCTAAATTGTTGCATCTGTTTTGGTCACTCTGCTATTTATAGCCTATAAAAAAAGTCTTTGGGCTTATATATCTCTAAAAAGTCATTTTATTGCATAGTATGCAAATATATTGTCAATCATCAATAGATACCATTCTTCTGCTTCATCCTTGTATGCCATGTTAAATATTTTAGAATTAAGACTTTATTATACTTACATTACAGGATATGATTTTTTTCAACCCTTAATGTTATTGACATAATGGCAGCTTAAATTATTGCAATTCTTTATACCCAAACATGTAAGAATAAACATAAACATCAGCTTTGTTTATTAAACCCAGAACACATCTTAGCAAATACCTTAACAGCTTCTTGATTGAATTATTAATTATTTAGGCTTGCAGCTGACATCATTATTCATCTACAGTAATGAGAGAGCTTGAGTTTGTTGGTGGCACGTACTGTACTAGTCGATATCACTAAAGCCTATAAAAATTAAAAATAATGGCTAAATGGTCAAATCCCCCCAGTGCTCAAGTAGATACGTCCCACTGTAGGTAATGGAAATTTGTAAGTTATAAATATAATTGCAATATGATTTATAAATAGATTCAATATTGTCAAATATTAATAACACCCTGGAACCTTCACTTGTACAACTTTATAAGGGCACAATCCAATTTCCACTGAAATCAACAGGAACCTTTTCATTGACTTGGATGCTGTACTTCTCAACAAAGTCTTTCAAAATCATGGTTTGGAAAATTTACATATCCGAGATGTGTGGTACAAATTACAGCGGTGACACTATCAATAACGTAAACAAAGATGGAGCTATTTTTTATGGATTGCCAGGTTGAGACCTATGGTGTGAGATAATTTTCACTGGACATGCAACGTTTCCTACAGAGTTCAAAAAGGGAGGTTGAATTTCATGCCAATGGCATCATTTGAATTTCAAGGGTGACAGGCAACCAGCATCACTGTGAGAAGCTACAAATCATTCTAATTTCTAGAAGGTTCAGTGCTACATTCAACTGGCCTGTAAGTCACCTAGTAATGATGCAAAGGAAGAGGAGTGGGTATTAAGATGTATGCCACATTAGTCGATTATATAGGAAAATTCACAAAAGTATGCATTTCCTTTAACAAAATTGAATGTTATGCTTAAGGCAATAATGAAAGAATCAGCTGCTGCCAAATGAGAACAAATTATTTAACATAATGTGCCGAAAATAAAATATACAAATTTAATCAATTATTACTTACCAGTGTGTCATTTATATTTTAACGTCAGTTTCCCTTGCCAGTTATTGAAGCCTGAGGAGAGAAGAGGAATAAAAAAAATGCTTGCTGAGTTTTTTTTCATATTATACTGTAATAACTGAAACATAACTACATGGGCCAGATCCCTCAACTGGTGTAAGTCAGTGTAGCTCCATTGACTTTTATGGAACAAACACTGATTTACACCAGCAGAAGATTTGACCGTATGTTTTTAATGTGAATAGTAATATTTTTTCCGCTTCTATAGCACCTTCCATATTGCAATCACAAAGCCATTAATTATACATTATAAACATACATTAATTACACTAGATAAATCTTCTAGACCACTGTGAAGTGTGGAATCTATATTACAGATGTGAGGACTAAAGCACTGAGGTTGAGCAATTTGCTCATGATTGTAGTGTGAGTCAATAATAGTGCTGAGATATAACTCAAGAGTCCTGACTTCAGTCCCCTGATTTATTAAAGTGAAACTAGGTCCTGTCCAGCCCCCACTAACTTCAACAACACTCCCACTGACTTCAGTAGGAATTGAATTTGACCCTACACCTACCACCAACCTGAAACTCATTGATATTCAAAGAGATTAATTGAGCAGGCTGGGATTTTCCTTCCATTAGCCACAATGTGGAACATGGTATGTAGCATTATCATTAACAAAGAGGCCTTAAAAAAATATCACTCATAAGAATGTAAAAATGGCCCTACTGGGTCAGACCAAGGGTCCATCTAGCCCAGTATCCTGTCTCCTGACAGTGGCCAGTGCCAGGTGCCCCAGAGGGAATGAACAGAACAGGTAATCATCAAGTGATCCCTCCGCTGTCACTCATTCCCAGCTTCTGGCAGACAGAGGCTAGGGACACCATTCCTGCCCATCCTGGCTAATAGCTATTGATGGACCTATCTTCCATGAATTTATCTAATTCTTTTTTGAACCCTGTTATGGCCTTGGCCTTCACAACATCCTCTGGCAAGGAGTTCCACAGGTGGACTGTGAGTTGTGTGAAAAAATACTTCCTTTTATTTGTTTTAAACCTGCTGCCTATTAATTTCATTTGGTGACCCCTAGCGCTACTCTGAAATCTAGTTCTTGTGTTATGAGAAGGAGTAAACACTTCCTTATCTACTTTCTCTATACCAGTCATGATTTTATAGACTCAATTATATCTCAATTATATCTCCCCTTAGCCGTCTCAGTCTTATTAATCTCTCCTCATAGGGCAGCTGTTCCATATCCCTAATAATTTTTGTTGCCCTTTTCTGAACCTTTTCCAATTCCAGTATATCTTTTTGGGGAGGGGACGACCACATCTGCACACAGATTCAAGATGTCGGCATACCATGGATTTATATAGAGGCAACATGATATTTTCTGTCCTATTATCTATCCCTTTCTTAATCATTCCCAGCATTCTGTTCACTTTTTTGACTGCCGCTGCACATTGAGTGGATGTTTTCAGAGAACTATCCACAATGACTCCGAGATCTCTCTCTTGACTGGTAACAGCTAATTTAGACCCCATCATGTTATATGTATAGTTGGGATTATATTTATATATATAGTTGGGATTGTTTTTTTACTTATTTATTTTTATATGTATAGTTGGGGTTATAAATTACTGTCGTAGAAAGAGACAGCCTGAGACATGAGGCCTGGTCTATGGTTTAAGGCCTGAACTGAAGTAGTCAGGCCCTGCTGATATAAAGACAAGTTAGCAAAAGTCAGGCCGTAAACAGAAGTCAGTTCCTGCTACAAAACCTGCCCACTTGCAAGTTCACAGAAGCTGGTAAGAACAGTGCGGGTGTTGCAAAAATACAAGCACTCCTAGGCACACATTCCAGAAAGGTGGTATCAGAACATCCCCTTTCAAGGTTATGGTGTAAACACACTCCCCAAAGATGATACAAGGACACACTGACCCCCTCTTAAAGATTAGGTAAGATGAAGCATGATGGATAGAGATGTTTTGATCAAACCAACATGTACAAGGTAAAGAGTGGTAACTAACCATGTCAGATGGGCAATAGATAACTTGTTTGGGTCAGTGTATAAAGAGGGGTCTCAGAGGGGATGTCTTTGTCCAGCTGAGGGGGGAATGGAAAGTCCCACCATTCACTGAGCCTAGTCCATTGTCATGGGTATACATATCTTAGTGTCCCGGAAGCTATTACTGGGCTTCGTCGATAATAAACCTGGACGAGTGCCTTCAGTATGGAACAGAGTCTGTGGTCTTTTTGGGCAGTTTGATCGAGGTCTGCTATATCAGCTATCTGCACAGAGGTAGGACAGCACAGACCAAGAATACAAACACACAGCCAACAACTGAGTACAGTTACCACTTCCAGTCCCAGTTGTTTCCATTTTTTTTATGTGCAGCTGGAAACAGGGGATTTGAATGGAAGTGCTCCAGCAACCTTCACTATAACTGTCCACTCAGGAATCAGTATACTAACTACTGAAATGCTGACCCCTCTGCGATGCAACACAGCAGCACTGTGAAATGATTTAGAGCAGGGGTGGGCAAACCTTTTGGCCTGAGGGCCACATCGGGGTTCCGAAACTATATGGAGGGCCAGGTAGGGAAGGTTGTGCCTCCCCAAACAGCCTGGCCCTGCCCCCTATCTGCCCCCTCCCACTTCCTGCTCCTGACTGCCCCCCTTAGAATCTCTGACCCATCCAACCTCCCCTGCTCCTTGTCCCCTGACCGCCCCGTCCCGGGACCCCCCCACCCCTAACTGCCCCCCTGGGACCCCCATGCCTATCCAACCACCCCCTGCTCCCTGTCCCCTGACTGCCCCCTGGGAGTCCCTGCCCCTTATCCAAACCCCCATGACCCGCCCCCTTACCATGCCGCTCAGAGCACCAAGACTGGCAGCTGTGCCGCCCGGCTGAAGCGAGCCATGCCGCCTCCCAGTCTAGAGCACCGGGGCAGGCTGGCAGCTCTTGCAGCAGCACTGCCTAGCAGGAGCTCGCAGCCTCACTGCCCAGAGCACTGGCGGCATGGCGAGCTGAGGCTGTGGGGAGGGGAGACAGCAGGGGAGGGGCCAGGGGCTAGCCTTCCCGGCCGGAAGATTAAAGACTGGGCAGGACGGACCTGCGGGCCACAGTTTGCCCACCTCTGGTTTAGAGAGAAATTCCCACTGATTTAAAGATATGGGCCCTAGGATTGGAGGTGAAAAGCACTATCTAACAGAAGCTGCAGGGGAAATTCCCTGTAAGCAGGAAGAACGTATTTAAAAAGTTTAGTGGTATGTTTAATGGTCACAACAAGTAGGGCATAAGGTCTATGTCTTACCTGAATTATGGTACCTTTCGTCACACAGTTGCTCTACGACAGAATCATCATAGAATCACAGAATATCAGGGTTGGAAGGGACCTCAGGAGGTCATCTAGTCCAACCCCCTGCTCAAAGCAGGACCAATCCCCAACTAAATCATCCCACCCAAGGTTTTGTCAAGCCAGGCTTTAAAAACCTCTAAGGATGGAGATTCTACCACCTCCCTAGGTAACACATTCCAGTGCTTCACCACCCTCCCAGTGAAATAGTTTTTCCTAATATCCAGCCTAGACCTTCCACATTGCAACTTGAGACTCATAGACTTTGAGGTCAGAAGGGACAATTATGATCATCTAGTCTGACCTCCTGCACAATGCAGGCCACAGAATCTCATCCACCCACTCCTGTAATAAACCCCTAACCTATGTCTGAGCTGTTGAAGTCTTCATACCATGGTTTAAAGACTTCAAGGTGCAGAGAATCCTCCAGCAAGTGACCCGTACTCCAAGCTGCAGAGGAAGGCAAAAAACCCCCAGGACCTCTGTCAATCTGCCCTAGAGGAAAATTCCTTCCCGATCCCAAATATGGTGATCAGGTAAACCCTGAGCATGTGGGCAAGACTCACCAGCCAGACACCCAGGAGAGAATTCTCTGTAGTAACTCAGATCCCACCCCATCTAACATCCCATCATAGGCTATTGGGCATATTTACCGCTAATAGTCAAAGATCAATTAATTGCCAAAATTAGGCTATCCCATCATACCATCCCCTGCATAAACTTATCAAGCTTTGTCTTGAAGCCAGATAGGTCTTTTTCCCCCACTACTTCCCTTGGAAGGCTGTTCCAGAACTTCACTCCTCTGATGGTTAGAAACCTTCGTCTAATTTCAAGTCTAAACTTCCTGATGGCCAGTTTATATCCATTTGTTCTTGTGCCAGCATTGGTACTGAGCTTAAATAATTCTTTTCCCTCCCTTGTATTTATCCCTCTGATATATTTATAGAGAGCAATCATATCTCTCCTCAGCCTTCTTTTGGTTAGGCTAAACAAGCCAAGCTCATTGAGTCTCCTTTCATAAGACAGGTTTTCCTTTCCTCGGATCATCCTAGTAGCCCTTTTCTGTACCTGTTCCAGTGTGAATTCATCCTTCTTAAACATGGGAGACCAGAACTGCACACAGAATTCCAGATGAGGTCTCACCAGTGCCTTGTATAATGGTACTAACACCTCCTTATCTCTATTGGAAATACCTCGCCTGATGCATCCCAAGACCGCATTAGCTTTTTTCACAGTCATATCACATTGGCGGCGCATAGTCATCCTGTGATCAACCAATACTCTGAGGTCCTTCTCCTCCTCTGTTACTTCCAACTGATAAGTCCCCAGCTTACAACAAAAATTTTTATTATTAATCCCTAAATGCATGACCTTGCACTTTTCACTATTAAATTTCATCCTATTACTATTACTCCAAGGTCATCCAGATCTTCCTGTATGATATCCTGGTCTTTCTCTGTATTGGCAATAAATCCCAGCTTTGTGTCATCTGCAAACTTTATTAGCACATTCCCGCTTTTTGTGCCAAGGTCAGTAATAAAAAGATTAAATAAGATTGGTCCCAAAACCGTTCCCTGAGGAACTCCACCAGTAACCTCCCTCCAGCCTGACAGTTCACCTTTCAATATGACCCACTGTAGTCTCCCCTCTAACCAGTTCCTTATCCATCTTCCAATTTTCATATTGATCCCC